TTGTAATATTGATAACTGCCAAGCCCTGAGGTACTCTGGAATGCAAGTGGAGAAGGAGCAGGCCTAAGTTCTAAAAGATACCGGGAAGAATGGGAATGGGTTTCCCTGCCAGGCTTCTCATGAATTCAGACAGTAGTCCCAAGATCCCATAGGCCCCAGTTCTCCCACTAAGCTCATTTGTTGAGAGGTGTGTATGTGTGTGTGTATGTGTGACTTTTAATGCAAGAAGCACTTCAATATTGAATAATATTTAAACACCAAACCTGATTGTTTGAATTCCTGAGATGATTTTTCTCTCTGGTGAATCGTGTGTTCTAGATTGGACCCCTAAGTTTAGTGACCTTTAGACTAAGAGCCCATCAAAAATGTCCCTCAGACTATAGCTGTTTTGGATCTCAGTGACAAACAATAATTTATGAATGGATACATAGGTACATAGGTATGCTAAAGAAGTGTGGGAAGGTGTAAGGGAGCACACTCACCTGCAGATACAAGTTTGGTTGTAGATATTTCTACATACATAATTGTAGATGCTGCATGTATATTAGTATAGACAATAGAGCACACAAGGGGCACAGTCAGGGAAACCTCTTAGACGTAACCAAACACCTTGTGGGATGAAGTTCCTAGGCTTGAAGGCAAAGGACCATAGACTTGAGGGACATGTACATCAATTAGCATAACATAGTTCATAAAGACAATGTTCTGCATCCTACTTTGGCAGGTAGCACCTGGGGTCTTAAAAGCTTGCGAGCGGCCATTTAAGATACAACTATTGGTCTCTTCCTGTCTGGAGCAAAGGAGAGTGAAGAAAACCAAAGACTCAAGGGAGCAATTATCCAAAGGACACATGGACTACATGGACCACAGCCTATACCACCCCAAAACTAGAAGAGCTAGATGTGCCAGTTCCCACTTCCAACGCTCTGACTGGAATCACAACAGAGGGTCCTGGACAGAGCAGGAGAAAAATGTAGAACAAAAAATCAAATTAACAAAAAATACCGGACTTACTGGTCTGACAGAGACTGGAGAAACCCCCGAGACTATGACCCTAAGACATCTTTCTGACCTGGAACTGAAGCCATTCCCAGAGACCACCTTTCAGCCAAACAGTATACAGGCCCATAAAATAAACAATAACACCCTAAAGGAACGTATTCCTTAGAACAATCATACGAGATCAAAAGGACAACATTTGCCCAAAAGCAAAGATAAGAAGGAAGAAAGGGGTAGAAAATCCAGATGAAAGGAAACGGGGACCAGGGCAGAAATGGGGAAAATGTTGACACATTGTAGGGAATGAAACCAATGTCATGGAACACTTTACATACAAACTATCGCGTGGAAAACCAATTTGTTCTGTAAATATTCACCTAAAAGCACAATGAAAAAAAATTTTAAATAAATAAAAATTAAATTGAAAAAAAGAACACAAGAGTACTGCTTGGTTTAAAATCAGGAAAGGTGTGCGTCAGGGTTGTATCCGTGCACCATACTTATTCAATCTGTATGTGAGCAAATAATCCAAGAAACTGGACTATATGAAGAAGAATGTGGCATCAGGAATGGAGGAAAACTCATTAACAGCCTGTGATACGCCCATGAAAAAACCTTGCTTGCTGAAAGTAAAGAGGACTTGAAGTAACTTGCTGATGAAGATCAAAGACTACAGCCTTCAGTATGGATTGCACCTCAACATAAAGAAAACAAAAATCCTCACAACTGGACCAACGAGCAGCATCTTGACAAACCGACAGCGATTGAAGTCGTCAAGGATTTCATTTTACTTGAATCCATAATCAACGCCCATGGAAGCGGCAGTCAAGAAATCAAACAGTGTATTGCATTGGGCAAATCTGCTGCAAAAGACCTCTTTATAGCATTAAAAAGCAAAGATGTCACCTTGAGGACTAAGGTGCACCTGACTCAAGCCACGGTATTTTCAATGCCTCATATGCATGCAAAAGCTGGACAATGAATAAGAAAGACCGAAGAAGAATTGCTGTTTTTGAATTATGGTATTGGCAAAGAATATTGAATATACCATGGACTGCCAGAAGAACGAACAAATCTGTTTTGGAAGAGGTAACAGCCAGAATGCTCCTTAGAAGTAAGGATGGCAAGACTTCATCTTACGTGCCTGGAACATGTTGTCAGGAGGGATCAGTCCCTGGAGAAGGACATCATGCTTAGTAAAGTAGAGGGTCAGTGAAAATGACGAAGACCCTCAATGAGATGGACTGACACAGTAGCTGCAACAATGGGCTCAAACATAGCAATGATTGTGAGGATGGCACAAGACCAGGCAATGTTTCGTTCTGTTATCCATGGAATCCCTATAAATCAGAACTGACTCAACAGCACCTAACAGTAACAACAACGGAAGATCCTACAATCCTCCAAGCTCGCACGTTCTCTATACGACAGAGTAGAACTGCCGCATAGGGTTTCCAAGGCTGTAATCTTTATGGAAGCAGACGGCTGCATCTTTCCTCTGAGGAGCAGCAGGTTCAAACCACTGGCCTTTTGGTTAGCAGGCGAGCACTTTAACCACCATGCCACCAGGGCGCCTTCATATTTTCTAAGACTCCTGTTTCCTGATTGGAAAACAGTCTTTTTATGGCTCCACTGAGAGGTAACAAAGAGTTAAGCCTGAGCGATAATTTGAGTTTTATACCTTAACTCTCAAGATTCATGCTGCTTTACCACTTTTTGTTTGTTTGTTTGTTTTTACAGATTATTTCTTCCATGTTCTCCTTCTGCCTTTAACATTTTTCGGCATAATAAAATGTACTCATTCCAGTCCTCTTTCTGGATGAGATGACTCTTTCAGGAACACATCATTAAAGATATTAAATATCAAAGCAGTTACCTTTAGGAGCCGCCATGCACTGCCTGATTGTTATGCCATCACAAGTCATAATTCAAACCATTTAATGACATTGTTTCAAGAATATTTCTGTGATGACATTGGTCTGTGACAGCTTGGGATCCACTGGGTTTCAGAGGAGGTATTTGGATTCATAAATAGTTTAAATTGTTTCTGGCATCTAGAAAATAGTTCGCTTCCCACAAGAAGATTAAAAAAAAAATTCAGTGTTCTTATTTAGTAATATTAATAACACTTGGGGCTATTTTGCCTTCAAATAATTTCTCCAACATTATATGAAGATATGGGCAGACCTAATTCACATATTTCATTTCTCACTCGCTTATGCTTCTACATTAGGGCTCTAAAAAAACACCAAACCAAATCCATTACCATCGAGTGGATTCCGACTCATAGCGACCCTATAGGATAGAGTAGAACTACCCCATAGGGTTTCCAGGGAGCAGCTGGTGGATATGAACTGCCAACCATTTGGTTAGCAGCTGAGCTCTTAACCACTGCTCCACCAGGGCTCCACATTAGGGCTCTACCTCCCCCAATATGCCTGTTTATTATTTCCTTCTGTACTCAGAAAACTTTTTCTAAGTGGCTTAAGGTGGAACGGTTAAAAAAGAGGGTTTTGACACCCATGTGGTGCTTGAAAAGTAAAATAAGCCCGACAAAAACAGTAGTTAGTACTGTCGCATATACTGCCCCTTCCCTTCCCTCTGCCTCCAAGGCACAGCAGGTTGACTTGCCTCCCTTGCCTACACTTTTGGACTTCTGACTTCTTTTCTCCTTCAAGGCTTCTCTTGAATGGGAATGTGTGCAAAGAGGAAAAGGAATTTGGTCAGCACGGAACAGGATAGAGAGCTGAGTAGAATATTGAGAAAAGATGAGCAAGAGAAGAAACGGAACAGAAGCAAGAGAGTACTTTCCACTAATCCTTACAACTAAAGTCAGAATCAGAGTATTAGAACTGGAAGGAACCTAGCAATCCTATGACTAAACCAGAAACCACTTGCTGTCAAGTTAATTCCGACTCATGGGGACCCCGTGTGTATCAGAGTACTACTGGGCTCCATCGGGTTTTCATGGCTGAGTTTTTGGAAGTAGATCACCAGGACTTTATTCCAAGGCACCTCTGGTGGACTTGAACCTCCAACCTTTTGGTTAACAGCTGTTTACATTAACCATTTGTACCACCGAGGGATTCCAATCCTAAGATTACAATACCTTAACCTAACAAATGTTCAATAAATGTATATTAAAGTTAGACTAATCTCCTTATTTTACAGGTGAAGGTATATATTGCCCAGGGCTATTCAACTGGTTAGTTGCAGAGCTGGGCCAGAGCCCAGGTCCTCTGATCCCTCAACCAACTGCTTTTCTATTAAAAGCCCATTGCCGTCAAGTTGATTCGGACTCATAGCAACCCTATAGGACAGAGCAGAACTGCCCCATAGGGTCTCCAAGGGGTGCCTGGTGGATTCAAACTGCCAACCTTTTGGTTAGCAGCCATAGCTCTTAACCACTAGGCCACCAGGATTTCCACTTTTCTATTAGAAGATATTGAAAAGACTATTTTCTATTTTTTTATTTCTAATACCTGACACAAAATAGGCATGAAATGTTGGCGCTCAGATGATTATTTGTAGGGCTGGTGGCACTTATGACATCTGTTTATGAGCAGGCACTTAGAAGGAATATGGGGTTTGGAGTCGGACTAGGGTCAGATCTCAGCTTTGCCCATTAATTACCACGTGGGCAAGTTTCTTAATTTTTCTGAGCCTAGGTTTTCACATTATAATCAGTGGGGATAATAATAGCTACCACATAATATTATTATAAGAATTAAATGAAATGGCGTTGCAGGAAGTACTTAGTTTGGTATGTGGAACAAATCCAAGGCTTCAGTAGATATTTGTGAAATTAATAATTGCTGACTATTATTATATTTGATCTCCCTTATACAGTGTCAACATACTTGACCTTTCAGGTGTATCATGTTGTTTAGGGACGTGTATACTCACTGCCATAGTTAAACTGCTATTTGGCTAACTTCTTTCTGTCTCAGCAAATGCGTGCCTTGGCCACCTCACAGCCTTTTTTATTTTTTTAATTCCAGACTAATCCATACAGGACAGATGTTAAACGGACTGGCAGGTCCAACGGTAATGAATGCAGCTCCGTTCCTCTCCACGACATGGTTTTCTGCAGATGAACGGGCCACTGCCACAGCAATCGCATCAATGCTCAGTTATCTTGGTGGCGCGTGTGCGTTTTTAGTTGGTCCACTTGTTGTTCCAGCTCCGAACGGGACCTCACCTCTTCTTGCTGCCGAGAGCAGTAGGGCCCACATTGAAGATCGCATAGAGACTGTGTTATATGCAGGTATTTTAAAGTGTTTTCTTCCTGTTATGCTTTGTCTTTTATCCCAGTCTTCACGCTACTTTTTGCATGCCAGGTCACTTCATATAAATATGTAAGAAGACTAATCTATACAGATACACGTAGTAGGCTTTGCTTGTCACAGAATGTGGAGATACCAATTTAAAACTTGCACCCTTTCTAGGCAGTTATTAAGTTTAAAATTTATTGTTGCTACATGAAAGGTTATTTCTTAACTATACTCTTCCTTCTCATCCATTTACAACTGAGCGCTGTATGACAATTTTTAGAGTCTTCTCTAGATATCTTGTCAATATATAAAACTAACCATCAGGATTAGCAATAAACATTTGTTAAGCAACTATTGGTAGGCGTTAAGCTCACTTTCTCCCTTGCAATTTCCTGGTTCTCGTCCGTGTTCTCTAACCTCCTTACCCTAGGTGGCCTCCAGTTTGTTTCTCTCTGTGTTCCTCCTCCCTGTATAGTCAAGTCTATGAATAGAGGATATTGACCTTTCCAAAACATGCTCTCGGATCCTTTCTCTTTTTATTTCTAGAGTCAAGTCCTAGTCCACTTATACATTACAGTCTCCTACAAAAAAAACCAAACCCATTGCCATTGAGTTAGTTCCAACTCATGGCAACACCATGTGTTGTAGGGTTTTCTTGGCTGTAATCTTTAGGGAAGCACATTGCCAGGCCTTTCTTCTGGGGTGCCACTGGGTGGGTTTGAGCTGCCAACCGTTGGGTTTGTAGTTGAGCACAAACTGTTTGCACCACTCAGAACCCACAGTCTCCTACAGATCTCCTTAAATACAGCCTCTCTCCCCATGTGCCTGTTTATTATTTCCTTCTGCATTCAGAAAACTTTGTATAAGTATATACTGTATGCCAGGTACTGTGCTTAGCACTGGGAGATGATAGATGAATGATGAGACAATTATAATACAAATAGAGATTGTACAGCTTGGAAGGCCTAACTTTGCCTAGGGTTGGGGAGGGCTTGAGGGATCAGGGAAGACTTCACTGAAGATGTGATCATTGAACACAATTAAGTCTTTCTTAGGAATTCACTGAGCATTCAAGTGGGTTAGGGTCTTCCTTACAGAGAGAACAGCAACTGCAAAGGTGGGGAAGGTATGAGAAGAGCTCAGCATGTCTGGGGAACTGCTCACAATTTGGAAAGGCTGGTATGGTATAAATGTATGTGTTTGGGTATAGGTAGCAAGTGGCAGAAAATGAGGCTGGAAGGATAAGGGGCCAGATTTTGATGAACTTTGTATTAGTTCATTTATTCACTTATTACTTTAACAAATATTTTAGAGGTCCTACATATCTGTCACTGTGCTAGGCACGGAGGTGGATATGGTTCCTGCCCTCGCAGAACTTAACAGTGCCGTGGGGGATATGACGAAGGCCTACATTTGCCCTGAGCACTCATAGGAGGAGTTCCTAACCCAGATTTCAGAGGTCAGTGGAGCTTCCTGGAGACGCAGCATCTAACTTGAGAACTGAGGGATGAGTTAGCCAAATACAGTGAGAAGGAGGACGAATATACTAGAGAGAGAACCATGAAGGAGAAGCCTATTAGAGGAAGAGAACCTGATACATTCAAGCAGCTGGAAGGCCGGAGTGGCTTAGATCTGACAGGAGTCTGGAGAGGTGAGTAGGGAGGTAAGCCAGGGCATGCAAGCCTTCTAAGCAGGGCTGAAGAATTTGAAGTTCACTTATAGACAAAGGTAATACTCTGAAGAATTTTACACCAGAGAGTTATATGATGAGACTTACATTTCATAATATGGTTTGGAGGGAATAAAACATCTGACCTTTTAAACTTCTTTTCAGTCATATCATTCTCTTTATTGAAAACCTAAGCAATGATTTTCTTGTAAATTACGCGGTTTTATGCAACTGTATCAATGTTCTACGTCCTCCTGGCTCACGGTTCCTATCCAGTCAAACAGAAGCCCCTAGTCAAAGCTTCCCAGTTATTGCTTCAGTGCTTTCATATGTGCCAGTCTGCCTTCCTACAATTGCTACCTTAAAGATTAAAGGCTCTTAAACTAAATTAGTCCAACGATTTTCAAAGCCCTCATAAGTAGATATAATTGGTTAAATATATATCCCTATTATGATGTTTTTGGGATTTGTTTTATTTGCATTATTCTTTTCTTTCCCCAAAAACCAAACCCATTGCCATCAAGTAGATTCCGACTCACAGCGACCCCATAGAACAGAGTAGAACTGCCCCATAGAGTTTCCAAGGAGCACCTGGTGGATTTGAAGTGCTGACCTTTTGGTTAGCAGCCATAGCTCTTAACCACTACACCACCAGAGTTTCCTTTCTTTCCCCAGTAAATTGTAAATAGGGACATATCATCTCATTTCTTTGTATTTCCCTAAATAGCCAGTTATGATAGCTTCTACTCAGTAAAGAGCTTCATACTCAATGATGTTCACTGACTATATAGAACAGGGGCCAGCAAACTTACTGTGAAAAGCCAGATAGTAAATATTTTAAGCTTTGCAGTCCCTACCACAACTATTCAATGCTGCCCTATAGCATGAAAACAGCCATCAAACCAAAACCCAACCCACTGCTATCGAGTCGATTCTGACTCATAGTGACCCTATAGGACACAGTAGATCTGTCCCTGTAGGGTTTCCAAGGCTGTAAATCTTTACAGAAGCAGACTGCCACATCTTTATCCCATGGAGTGGCTGGTGGGTTCAAACTGCCAACCTTTTGGTTGTCAGCGGAGTGCTTAACAAGTGCGCCACCAGGGCTTCTCACTAATAATTAAAAGAAGTGTAAATTAAAACAATTTGTTAACTTTTTGTTGCCCTTCAGATTAACAAAGCGTAAAGAGATTGCGAATACCCCGCCCAAAAAATGAATGTGTTAACAATCTTTCAGTTTCTAATTGAGTTAAATAAAATTATCTGTGGTTAAGCATCTTACAGGAATATTGTACCCTTTTTACTAAATTGGGCACAAAAGGTAGGACATGCAAGTGTCAGAACTCTGGAGGGAATGATCGGGACTCCCAGTAACCTTCCCTTCTGTAATGTTGCCAAACTAAGATTGTTTGGATGTTCATTTTACTTCTGAATGTTTAATATTTTATATTAGCTAGGCTTGTGTTTAAATTCTGCCGTCTCTTGGTTTCTTATTTTTGGATGCTTTCTTGTTACGTTCAAATTTCCAATATAGCCTATAAATTGGGCCTGGCCTGCACTATACATCATAATATTATCCTATGATTCATCAAACAAACCCTCTCCTATCCTGTTCTTACCAATTTTCTCTATCATAGTCTTTCTTTCTGAGTACCATTTTTTCAGACAATCATCCTAGGCCTGTGTTTTCAAAATCCCTTTTATAGTAGGTGCTGTTGGTTTTTAATGTATTTTTCCTTAGAGTAACATTTTTTAATTGCTTCAGTCTTTTTGTCTATATGTACTGTGTTGTTGTTGTTGTGTGCCATTGAATCGATTCTGACTCATAGCAGCCCCGTAGGGTTTCCTAGGCTATAAATCTTCACCGGAGCAGATAGCTGGGTGTTTTCTCCTGAAGAGCAGCTAGTGAGTTCGAACTAACAGTCTTTCGGTTAGCAGCCAAGCACTTTAACTATTGTGCCACCAGCGCTCCTTAGTGTACCATAGTACCATTATATTCTTGGCTTATAATGTGACTTTTTACCAATGACCTGCTGCAGTTTATCTCTTTACGTACCAATCTTTCTCACTTGTCTGAGCTTTGTTGGCCATTATGTACAATATTTTACTAATCTTTACATCTGTAGGACTTAGTTGATGCTTAATACATATTTGTCAAATAAGTAAATACTTGAAATGTTCATTTTCTTTGTATTGCTTGATTAACATTTTATTCTATTGATTTTTTTCGCCCCTTTCAGAATTTGGAGTTGTCTGCTTGATATTTTCTGCAACATTAGCGTATTTCCCACCCCGGCCTCCTCTTCCTCCCAGTGTTGCTGCAGCTAGCCAGCGGCTGAGTTATCGGCGGAGCTTTTGTAGATTATTAAGGTAAATATACTTAGAGTCGTTGGATGGTTTTGACTAGCACCTTCTAGATCATTTTACATTTAAGATAACCTATGATAGTCATCTTTCAGCAACCTATTAATCAAATATTTTAGAAGGATTTCCTATCAGAAATCTATCTTGATTCTTTTGGATTTTCCAAGTGTGTCCTAAATGTAATCACAAGTGTCTTTATGAGAAGGAGGCAGAGGAGGGAGATTTGATACAGACAGAAGAGGAGAAGACAGTGTGATCACAGAGACAGAGATTGAAGTAAAGTGGTCATAGACTAAGGAATGCCAGCAGCCAGAGGGACCACAGCCCTGCTGACACGTTGATTTCAGCTCAGTGAAGCAGATTTTGGACTTCTGGCTGCCAGGCATGTGAAAGAATAAATTTCTGTTGGTAAGCCTCCAAAAAAAAAAAAAAGAAAGAAATCTATCTTGAAAAATGTCCAGAAACAAAAACACCTCCATAATTTTTGCCTCGTCTACATACCACCTGTACTATTATTTACTTAATACTTTTGAAATAAAATATTTTACTTAGATAATATTTAAAAGGAAGCATATCAAATAATAGTACCTGCTGAAATCATGAGTTTCATATGTTTATTATATTTTTTATAATATGCAAATTATTTTCTTCATTTTGTACTTACTCAGTGCACATTAAAATAAACAGGTGCCAGTCAATACAATCCCCACACATCCGTCATTTTTTTGTACCGTGGGGTCTTGCGTGTGGCTGTGATGCTGGAAGCTCTGCCACCGGTATTCAGATCTCAGCAGGGTCACCCAAGGCAGACAGGTTTCACCTGAGCTTCCAGACTAAGACAAACTGGGAAGAAGGCCTGGCGGTCTACTTATGAAAAGAATTAGCCAGTGAAAACGTTACGAATAGCAGCAAAACATTGTCTGATATAGTGCCAGAAGATGAGCCCCTCAGGTTGGAAGGCACTCAAAAGATGACTGGGGAAGAGCTGCCTTTTCAAAGGAGAGTTGACGACCTTAATGACATGGATGGAGTCAAGCTTTTGAGACCTTCCTTTGCTGATGTGGCAAAAATCAAAACGAGAAGAAACAACTGCAAACATCCATTAATAATCGGAACACAGAATAGACAAAGTATGAATCTAGGAAAATTGGAAATTGTCAAAAATGAAATAGAACCCATAAACATCAAGATCCTAGGCGTTTGTGAGCTGAAATGGACTGGTACTGGCCATTTTGAATCGGACAATCGTATGGTCTACTATACCGGGAAAGACAACTTGAAGAGGAATGGCATTGCATTCATCATCAAAAAGAACATTTCCAGATCTATCCTGAAGTACAACGCTGTCAGTGATAGGATAATATCCATATGCCTACAAGGAAGACCAGTTAATACAGCTATTATTCAAATTTACACACCAACCACTAAGGCCAAAGATGAAGAAATTGAAGATTTTTACCAACTACTGCAGTCTGAAATTTATCGAACATGCAGTCAGGATGCATTGATAATTACTGGTGATTGGAATGCTAAAGTTGGAAACAAAAAAAAAGGATCAGTAGTTGGAAAATATGGCCTTGGTGATAGAAACAATACTGAGGATCACATGATAGAATTTTGCAAGACCAATGACTTCTTCATTGCAAATACCTTTTTTCAACAATATAAATGGTGATTATACAGATGGACCTTGCCAGATAGAATACATAGAAATGAAATCGACTACATCTGTAGAAGGAGATGATGGAAAAACTCAATATCATCAGTCAGAACAAGGCCAGGGGCCGACTCTGGATCAGACCAGCAATTGCTCATATGCAAGTTCAGGTTGAAGCTGAAAAAAATTAGTCCATGAGAACCAAAGTATGACTTTGAGTATATCCCACCTGAATTTAGAGACCATCTCAAGAATAGATTTGACACACTGAACACTGACTGAAGACCAGACAAGTTGTAGAATGACATCAAGGACATCATACATGAAGAAAGCAAGATGTCACTAAAAAGACAGGAAAGAAAGAAAAGACCAAAATGGATGTCAGAAGAGACTCTGAAACTTGCTGTTGAACGTAGAGTAGCTAAAGCGTACGGAAGAAATGATGAAGTAAAAGAGCTGAACAGAAAAATTTCAAAGGGCGTCTCGAGAAGGCAAAGTATTATAGTGAAATGTGCAAAGACCTGGAATTAGAAAACCAAAAGGAAAGAACACAGTTCGCATTTCTCAAGGTGAAAGAACTGAAGAAAAAATTCAAGCCTCGACTTGCAATATTGAAAGATTCTATGGGAAAAATATTAAATGACGCAGGAAGCATCAAAAGAAGATGGAAGGAATATACAAAGTCACTATACCAAAAAGAACTGGCTGACGTTCAGCCATTTCATGAGGTAGCATATGATTAAAAACTCATGGTACTGAAGGAAGAGGTCCAAGCTGGACTGAAGGCATTGGTGAAAAACAAGGCTCCAGGAATTGACAGAATACCAATTGAGATATTTCAGCAAATGAACACAGGCTGGAAGCGCTCACTCCTCTATACCAAGAAATTTGGAAGACAGCTACCTGGCAAACCTACTGGAAGAGATCCATATTTATTCCTATTCCAAAGAAAGACAATCCAATCGAATGCGGAAATTATCAAACAATATCATTAATATCACACACAAGTAAAATTTGGCTGAAGATCATTCAAAAGTGGCTGCAGCAGCACATTGACAGGGAACTGCCAGAAATTCAAGCCAGATTCAGAAGAGGATGTGGAACCAGGGATACCATTGCTGATGTCAGATGGATCCTGGCTGAAAGCAGAGAATCAGAAAGATGTTTACCTGTGTTTTATTGACTATGCAAAGGCATTCAACTGTGTGGATCATAACAGATTATGGATAACATTGTTGTCTTAGTCATCTAGTGCTGCTATAACAGAAATACCACAAGTGGATGGCTTTAACAAAGAGAAGTTTATTCTTTCACAGTCTAGTACGCTACAAGTCCAAATTCAGGGCTTCAGCTCCAGGGGCACACTTTCTCTGTCCGCTCTGGAGGAAGGTTCATGTTGTCAATCTTCCCTTGGTCTGGGAGCTTCTCTGCACAGGAACCTCAGGTCCAAAGGATGTGCTCTGCTTCCGACACTGCTTACTTGATGGTGTGAGGTTCCCCTATGTCTCTACTCAATTCTCTCTTTTATGTCTCAAAAGAGATTGGCTTAAGACAGTATCCAATTTTGTATACCTCATCAGTATAACTTCTGCAAATCCATTTTATTACATCATAGTGATAGTTTACAACACATAAGGAAATCACATCAGATTACAAAATGGTACACAATCATACAATACTGGGAATCATGACCCAGCCAAGTTGACAGATATTTTGGGGGGGACACAATTCGATCCATGGCAATTGTGAAGAATGGGAATTCCGGAACACTTAAGTGTGCTCATGAGGAACCTGTACATAGATCAAGAGGCAGTCATTCAAACAGAACAAGGGGATACTGTGTGGTTTGTGTGTGTGTGTGTGTGCGCTTTGAATGAAAGTTTACAGTTCAAGTTAGTTTCTCATACAAAACTTTATACACATACTGCTATGTGACCCTAGTTGCACTCCCCATACTGTGACAACACACTCCTCCTTTCCACCCTGGATGTCCCGTGTCCATTCAGCCAGCTCCTGTCCCTTTCTGTCTTCTCATCTTGCCTCCTGACAGGAGCTGCCCATTTAGCCTCGTGTGTCTATTTGAGCTAAGAAGCACACTCTTCATGAGTATCATTTTATGTCTTTTAGTTCAGTCTAATCTTTGTCTGAAGAGTTGGCTTCGGGAATGGTTTTAGTTTTGGGCTAACAGAGAGTCCGGGGCTTCCAGGGTCCCTCCAGTCTCAGTCAGACCATTAAGTCTGGTCTTTTTACTAGAATTTAAGTTCTGCACCCCACGTTTCTCCTGCTCTGTCAGGGACTCTCTACTGCGTGGTTTAATGTCAGGAAAGGTATGTGTCAGGGTTGTATCATTTCACCATACTTATTCAGTCTGTATGCTGAGCAAATAGTCTGAGAAGCTGGACTATATGAAGAAGAATGGGGTATCAGGATTGGGGAAAGACTCATTAATAACCTGCGTTATACAGATGACACAACCTTGCTTGCTGAAAGTGAAGAGAACTTGAAGCACTTACTGGTGAAGATCAAAGACCACAGCTTTCAGTATGGATTACACCTCAACATAAAGAAAACAAAAATCCTCACAACTGGGCCAATAAGGAACATCATGATAAACAGAGAAAAGATTGAAGTTGTCAAGGATTTCATTTTACTTGGATCCACAATCAACACCCATGGAAGCAGCAGTCAGGAAATCAAAGACGCATTGCATTGGTCAAATCTGCTGCAAAAGATCTCTTTAAAGTGTTGAAAAGCAAAGATGTCACCTTGAAGACAAGTGTGCCTGACCCAAGCCATGATGTTTTCAGTTACCTTATATGCATGAGAAAGCTGGACAATCAGTAAGGAAGACCAAAGTATTGACACCTTTGAGTTATGGTGTTGGCAAAGAATATTGAATATGCACCATGGACTGCCAAAAGAATGAACAAATCTTCTTGGAAGAAGTACAACCAGAATGCTCCTTAGAAGCAAGGATGGTGAGACTATGTCTCACATACTTTGAACATGTTATGAGGAGGGATCAGTCCCTGGAGAAGGACATCATGCTTGGCAAAGTAGAGGGTGAGCAAAAAAGAGGAATACCCTCAACAGAATGGATTGACACAGTGGCTGCAGCAGTGGGCTCAAGCATAACAACTATTGTGAGGATGGCGCAGGATGGGGCAGTGTTTCATTCTGTTGTACACAGGGTCACTATGAATCGGAACCAACTCAATGGCACCTAACAACTAAAGTCAGTACAAAGTGAATAAAATAAATGTTTATTCATATATCACCTAAAATTATCTTGCATACCACTTGTAGTACCATACTTAGGAAAACTTAATGCGTTATTTTCTTGGTAAAT